TATTTCCGACCCGGACAATTTTAGGGGTCTACACTGCTAACTGATTCCCTTCTCTCGGGGTATGCTCGAAGTTAATGGATTCAAATTGGGACATCATATCCTGAACATATGCTTGATAGGGGATTAATTTGTGGTCCTTCGTTTCCCATTCATCCCATAGCTGATATATCACCAAAGCTGAGTCACCGTAGACTTCTAGTTTGGTGACTTTGTTATCAAGCGCAACTTGTAGACCCAATATACAAGCTTCGTATTCAGCCATATTGTTGGTGCATTCAAAGTCCAACCTTGCCGTCATCGGGATATGTTTTCCTTGGGACGACATCAGTATGGCTCTTATTCCGTGCCCCATTATATTGGAGGCCCCATCGAAGAACATCGACCAGGATTCATTTTGATTTTTCTTTTTTGGCTCATCCTTCAAGGTCAATATTTCTTCATCAGGGAACTCCTCCTTGACCATGTGTTCGTCCTTGGTTGGTCCACTTGCTAAGTGGTCGGCCAGGACACTACCTTTGATTTCCTTTTGCAGGACATACACAATATCATATTCTGATAGCAAAACCTGCCATCTGGCAATTCTCCCAACCAAAATAGACTTTTCAAGTAGGTACTTGATAGGATCCATTTTGGATATTAACTGGGTGGTATGTCTCAGCATGTACTGTCTTAGCCGCTGGGTGGCCCACACTAAGGCGCAACATGTTTTCTCCAAAGGAGAATACCGAGCTTCGTAATTGGTAAACTTCTTGCTCAAGTAATAGATAGCACTTTCTTGATTACCAGTCTTGTTTAACTGTCCCAGCATACATCCCATGGAATCTTCCAAGACCGTGAGGTATAGGATGAGAAGTTCTCCTTCAATAGGAGGCATCAATATTGGTGGATTGATGAAACATTGCTTAATCTTATCGAAAGTGATTTAAGATTCCTCATTCCATTCCACGGGTTGATTCTTTCGGAGTAGCTTAAAGATGGGAGCGCATGTGTTAGTCAACTGAGATATGAAACGAGCTATATAATTCACCCTACCAAGAAATCCCCTGACCTCCTTTTCTGTCCTAGGGGGCGGCATTTCTATTATGGCTCTGGCTTTGTCTGGATCCACTTCTATCCCCTTTTCACTAACGATGAACCCAAGGAGTTTTCCTGATCGGACTCCAAAATTATATTTAGTAGGATTTAACTTTAATTTGTAGTTACGAAGCCGATTGAACAGTTTTCTTAAGTGGATAAGATGATCATTTTCATCTTTCAACTTAGCAATCATGTCATCTACATACACCTTTACCTCCCTGTGGATCATGTCATGAAATAGGGTTACCATTGCCCTCTGATAGGTTGCCCCTACGTTTCTCAAACCGAAAGGCATCACCCGGTAACAGAAGGTTCCCCAAGGAGTGATGAAAGAAGTCTTCTCTTGATCTTTGATGGCTATCTTGATCTGGTTATATCCCGAATATCCGTCCATAAATGAGAAAATAATGTTTGTAGATGTGTTGTCTATGAGCACGTCAATGTGTGGTAGTGGAAAGTCGTCTTTAGGACTAGCTCGATTTAGATCTCGATAGTCCACACAAACTCGCATCTTCCCGTTCTTCTTTAGTACGGGCACTATGTTTGCAAGCCATTCAAGATACCGAGATACAACCAAAAACCCAGCATCTAGTTGTTTTTGGACTTCTTCTTTTATTTTGAGGGACCACTGAGGTTTGATCCTTCGAAGTTTCTGCTTTACTGGAGGAATCCTATTTTTTATGGGCAATTTGTGTTCAATAATTTCGCGGTCTAATCCTGGCATGTCGTGATAAGACCAAGTGAAGACATCAATATATTCCTTTAAGAGGTCGATCAATTGATTCTTGACCTCCTTTGCCATCCTCGTGCCGATTGATATTTCCTTTCTATCCTCTTCTTGCCCTAGATTAATCTTCTCAACTTCCTCTTGATAGGGTTGGATTATACGATTCTCTTGGTCCATCAACCTTTGCATTTCGGGGGATAGATTCTCCTCATGCTCGAGCGATACATCACACAAGTTTAGATTTTGCTCAACTTCGTTTCCTTCGGCCATGTTCACTAGGTTCTGTATTTAGGTTTATAATTTTAATGCATGGATGACGAAAAGAAGAAAATAAAGAGAGAAAATAGGATAGACATAACTTCTAAATGATGTATTTTATTATAAAAGAAACAAATTCATCACAACCCTTTATTGTGGAAACCCACAACCTTGGGCAGAGTTGTGGGTTAAAAAAAATAGTGAAATAATAAAACTCATGATGACAGAAAACATGAATCCCTAATGGACATCCCTATTCAGGCAGTCTTCCAACAGCACCGTTTCACAGACTTTAATCTTCATGCTTGGGAAGTGGCTGCTTGTCGATACTAGGCGTGTCCGTGTCAAATTTTAACCACCCGGCGTCAATTAGGCCTTGGACTCAAAGCTTTAAGGCCTTACAGCGCTCCACAGAAGGTCCTGGGGAGCTAGAGTGATAATCGCAATGCTCCTCGGGGTTGTACCATGAAGGGAAAGGGGGTCTGAATTACTTCGATGGCGAGAGTCGTACCAGCATGGAAGCCTCTAAGATTTGAGGTAACAGTGCCGCATAAGTGGTGGGAATTTTATCCACCGTCTTCTCTTTCCATGACTCGATCTGTGTCACGCCTCAACTCTTTGGAGGGGTGGTGGCTATAGTGACGGCATTGATCCCATCCTCCTTCTTCTTTCCGTAGGACTTCTTGTAGTCATAACTCCCTGGAGCCTTTCCTATTTTACCGCTCTTCAAACCCCTGCTCCACCCTTTCGCTTATGGTGACTATGTCGGCAAAAAGGGTCGAGGTATTCCCTATCATCTTATCATAATAGGGGCCAGTTAAAGAGTTGATGAACAAGGTCACCGTCTCCTTATCAGAAAGAGAGGGCTCTACTTGTGCGGCCAGCTCCCTCCACCTTTGTGCATAAGCTTTGAAAGGTTCGTCCCCCTTCTTGCTTAACCCTTGCAAATCAGACCTGTCGGGGACGAGATCAATATTGTACTTGTATCGTTGCAAGAAAACATCAGCGAGCTACTTCCATGTCTAGATCCTTCCTCCCTCCAGCTGCATGTACCAATTGAGGGCCACATCCGATAAGATCTCCTAAAAATAGTGTATCAGGAGCTTCTCGTTGCCCACATGGGCGGCCATCTTTCGGTAGTACATCGTCTGATACATTTTGGGGCTGGATCCCGTATACTTTTGGAAGTCAGGACTTTTGAACTTGGGCGGGAATTGGATATCCTGTACCAAGCACATTTTAGTGGCCTCCTGAATGTCAAAGCTATGACCTTCCACCGCTCTTAACCTCTCTTCCAAAGCATTTGGGTGATCCTTGGATGCGTCTCCTACGTGACTAACGCTATTGTCATCATGTTGGAGCTTGCTCATGGTTTCGCACATTCGAGCCATTTGCACCTTGAGTTGCCTAAGCTCTTCATTCAGATCGTGGTTCTTTTCCATTAGTGCCTCCATAGCCTTTCTTTTTTGGGTTCTCGTGAGTACGGAGTGTTGAGAAGCCACTTTCGAGGGATAACAATAGATTTCTATTACACTTATTTATAGACCTACTGAAGGAAATTCCTGACAGGATGATGCTTGCCCTTATGAAGGTAGGTGTCCCTTTTCATAATATTTTACGATATGACAAAGGTTACACTGATCCTTAGAAGGTCGGTCATCATCGATGCCCCTTTTCGTAATATTTTACGATATGACAAAGGTTGCACTGATTTTTGTCGGGTATTCCTACCAGTTCTAGTATATGTATAGCATACAAGTGCTTCACTATATTTTTTGTTTATATTTTTAGACAAAAGAAAAGGATTATGACAAAAGGCAGATGAACTTCTTTATACAAACAACTATGCAATAATCATATGCTCAAACAGTTATCCATCCACGAGCGGTCACGTTTAAATCCTTGGTTTGTGGTCCTTACAAGAAAAGTGCATTGTATAGGACAGTTCTAATCTCACTGGTCTTAAGGCCCCCAAGGTGCCTTCATTATAGGGACCCAGTATCTCTGTTACCGTCACCTGACAAACTCTAAGGTCTGTCGCGGTATTTCGGGCTAGAGTAACCGGTTATCACCTTGAGTGTAATTTTTGACAAGGCTCGCAGGCTCTAAGGCCAAACTTGGGCCGGTCGTACATCAACCACTCCCTATGTTTATTAGCCTTATGCCCCCGAGTGTAGGGGGAACTATTGTGTGCAAAGGATTGTGTACAATTTTATTCAAACAAATGCAGAATTTAAACAGACAAACAGATATGAAAGCCAAAAAAATAAAACAAACAAAATAAAGGGAAAAAATATTTAAATTATTATTTTTTATAATGCTAATTTCATCATTTATATTGGCCTGACCCTCTTAAAATGTCCCCAGTGGAGTCGCCATCTGTCGCAACCCGAAAATTTCCGATCTCGCGACTAATGGTTTAGACATCCTCTAGAAAGTCTCATCAATTAAGGAATGTCTGGACACTAGACTAATCCTTAATTAATGGTTTTAAAAAATGAGTTCATGCAGTCGCCACCAATATTTTACTCAAAACATTGGAAAAAGAAAGGTTCTCTAAAAATCCAATAATGGCCTTGATAACCAGAATTGGGTTCGGGGGTCGATGATAGATCAGGGGCCAAGGGCCCAGTTACTAGAGCTATGGCTAGAAGAATTCATGAAGAGTTGGACCTCTTGAAGACTAGTGGGCTTTTAAGGCCCAAGGTATTCTTCACTTGGACTACTCTATCATAAAGAGAAGGCCTAGTTCTACTTGTGAATATTGTATAGTTTGTACATAGTCTCTTGTATAGGTTATTTTTGCCTTTGTATTTGTGAGGAACTTTACTTGCTTTTTATAGTGTTTGTATATTGATTTTAGGGTAGGCTACTTGGAGAGTTTAACTCCATTTAACCTCCCTAGTTGATACATTCATTTTATATTTTTTCAGTAGGGAAAAAGGGGTTCATTTAGCAATGCCTAAGGGTGTGACTAGTAATTGGGTCAAAACTGGGCCTAGGCAAATTTTTTCATATTAGACTCATTTTGCTCCTAATTTTTCATAGATTTGATTTAGCTAGGTCTCATCATCATATGATGAACCTAACTAAACCAAATCAAAGAATTTCAAAATAAATCATGGAGCATTTTGGAGCCTTGGCCGCCTAGCCTTCTTATTTGTTTTTGGCCAAAATTTGCTAGTTCTTTCTTCAAGTTTTGAAGCTTCCCTTCCAAGTTTCTAAACCTTGGTAGGTTAGGCTGACCTTACCATGGTTCTTAAGTGAACCATGGTCAAGGTTAGCTTCTCCTACAAGTTTTAGAAACCATGGATGGTTAGCTACACCTTACCATGGTTCCTAGTGAACCATGGTTAAGGTTAGCTTACACTAGAAGCTACCTCTCCCTATATATTTGTAAATCCCTCTCTTGTATTCACTTTTGGACATTTATGAGAAATAGAATTCAGAATTCTCTCTCATTTTTTAAGAGTCAAAACCGTGAGAACCTAGTTCCTAGTTCTCTCTCAAGGTTCCTTCTCCTAGAAGCTTGGTTCCTCAAGCTTCTTCACTTCTTCAAGAGGTGACCGAACCTCCTTAGGTGCTTCTCCTCCATTGGAGACTTCTTCAAGGAGCTTCCGCTGATTTGAAGTGTTCAACCTCATTGAGCAAAGGTCTTGGACGGTGGAAATGTTGAAGAACATCAATCTTCTTCAACCTAGTTCCATCA